GTGGATGGCGCGTGGCAAGTCAAGATCAAGTGGCTTGGCCTGGACGAGCTTGAGTCATCGTGGGAGCCTGCTTTGTCCATCTATGAAGACGTGCCTGTGATCTTTCGTCGCTGGGCCAATGCCAATGACGACCAAGATGGCATGCGCGAGATGATCGACGACCTTGAGCGGACGTGCGGTCACCCCTTGTAGGGGGAAGTGTTCGTGGCGGTGCCCCGAGCCCAACTCCGCGAGCTCCTGTGTGTGAAGTTGGTGTTTGGGACGATTGTGTTGGCACGTGTGATGTCCTAGTTCGATACCCTGGGCGCCCAGGTTCAACAAGTGCCCAGGTTCAACGAGTGCCCAGGTTCAACGAGTGCCCAGGTTCAACGAAGTAGGGCAGGGGCAAGCGATTGGATTGATAATCGATCTCACTTTTGGATTTGTCATCGAGGTCGCCGTTGTGAACACGGCAAGCCGTCGGTTGCGAACACCGTCGCAAGACAACAGTGTCAAGCACGGAAATTATGAAATGTAATAAGGCAGGTTGAAACGGGAAGTGTGGAAATCCATGAATGCATTGATTCTACGGATGCAAGTGGTCATGTTGAAGGAAAGCGAAGCGCATTGCACAACGAGAAACCCCTGCGTATTCTGACTCTGACCTAGAACACATCACGCGTATAACAACATTGGACATTTAGTTACATTAGAAGTTGCTATGCTAAAAATGATCGAGAATTTACGAACTGTGCCAGCAAGAGGTGAAACATACTCACGTGCCACCCTCCACGCCAAACACATCCTATCTCTACTTCGAACACGACGACCAGTTGGTCATATCTCGCAACTTGCTCCCCAGACCAAGGGAGCTAGCAGGCATGAAGTGCGATGCCATCGCAATCCGAATCGATCCCACGAACCAATGTGCAATGACTCACAGTGCCACAAAATTAAAGAACGCCTTGTTTGCCACACCAATCGCAATATCAGCGATTTTCCCAATGGACTTAACTGCCATGTCCGCACAAAACCCCACGGTGCCTCCGAAGGACTCTTGCCCGATAGAATCGCCGTAGTGATCGATCAAGCAGCTCACTGGATCGTCCTTCTTGCCACTGCCACCGCCAATGCCAATTTCACTCTGTAGAAACTATTCTCCTAAGTTTCGAACGGATGAAATACACAGCGAAACGGGTTTCGTACCTACAAAGTTCGGGTGACCGCAGCTTGGCACTGCGCAACTTAGGAAGTTTGAGGAGGCGAGTTTGATGTATGAGGCGATCGAGCCATTCAAGGAAGACACGCAAGCCGTGCCGAGCACACCTGAAGCAGTGATGCGCTGTCTGATTCTTAACGTTGAACTTCATCGGCGCGGACGCGCCGAACTCATAATTAACGTGAGCTTGAATCATCCATGAATACACAATCGTGCCATTTGCGCGAGACTCTAGCTTTCAAATTTACGAAGATTTGCGTTCAAGTATGTGCACGCAGTCATCAGCGGCCATCACGGCAATGGTGCGAACATACCATCACGTAGCGGTTGGGCCAACGAACTGCGGGGAACAGGTGTAAATGCGGGGGACGGGGTGTATAGGCGGGGAGAGGGGACGTGGTCGGGACGTCCAAGATTAAATTTGTTGGTCAACCAACAGGTTTATACTCTTTTTCGTAATTAGCAGATGCTAACAGTTTAGTCGTACCATGCGCACATAACCGAAAAACATGGAATTGCATCTCCTCGTTACCTCAGCAAATTGACAGAGATATGAAATAATGACCACAATGAACTTTTTCGCAGCCATGGACTCATCAACTGACGAAGAATACGTCCCCGATGCCCCCAGCCACGAACTCCACGCTCTTACTACTGTACCCCCACAAACAATCCGCTTTTTCCTCGACCCCCAGTGCGTTTTCATGACGAAGTTAAATAGAAACAACAGTAAAGTGTCACTTTACGACGAGGGCGTGCTGGGGGTGGAGTGTTATGTTTTTATTTGCAATTGACATTTCGTTCTAAATGGTTAGAACAAATACCAAACGTTGTATTCACATTACGAGACGATATGATCTGTGGATTATCTGGGTGCCCTTTAAGGTCTGGATTATGTCCACCGAACTATGCCGTCGTCATGGACCTCACTGCTCATTTCATGGTTGCGACAACTCCGTTCACTCTCGCGGCCTCTGGCGTACGCCAACGATTGTCAGTTCGAAACAAGGGCTGAGTTGAAGGTACAAATTCTCAAATCTTGGGCTGAGATCGATCAACCATACTTGGCCAATGCAGCTGGAGGTATGCCTACGAGAATGGCCCAAACAATCCATTGCCGGGGCAATTGCATTGATAAATGGCCATTACAACGAAGTGCGTTGTAATGGGAGCATATCAAGGTACGTACGCCAAACATGCCCATCCATCCAACCCTTTTCATGGACCTCGTAAAAATGGCCATCAGGGTAGGTTGACAGCTCCTTCTTGCCGATTGTCCCGCCAGGAACTCTATGCTCCTTGAACATAATTGGAAGCTTGCTACCTACATCCTCCGTTTCGAAATACTGTTGTAGGTTCACTTCAGTTTCCTTTTCTCAGACAAAACTCGTCGCGAGAAGCCCTAAGTAGACTCAAATTGATGCCAGAAACTTCACCATTTCGAAACAATTTTTAGATTATTTTTATTCGCTGTAGAACTCGAGAACGACGACATTCAAAGTTTAAAAAATATGAAGTCAAACTTTAAACCGCTGCCAATCAGTCAATTCTTATCCAATTAGCCTCATTTTTCGCGCAAACGACTCGTCTTGATTCGTAGATACTCTTAGCACACCTCAGAAGCGCCGATTTGAGTTACACAACATTCATGTCTAGCCGTGTCACGACTGGTCGTGAGCTCGCCGACGGCGAGCGAAAACGATTGTACAACGCTCTTCGCAAACTCAAGGCCAACGGTGCAGTGCCGCGCGGCTCCATGAAGGCTCTGTGTGCCGAGTACGGCGTGACCCAGCAAGCGGTGTCGATCATCTGGCAGCTGTGATTCTGATGCAATCGCAGCAATTGGTGCACTGAAAGCTCGCTTGTCTAGTGAAGAGAATATGGGCAGGTTTGTTGACTTGTTCAATCTCTAGTCTTCGATTGGTCTCTCGATGGACAAGAGACAAATCGACGAAATTGTTGCTGCAGTTGACAATATAGATTTGTAAATGGCAAAATGTTCATTCATCATATCATGGTGTTGTTCGTTGTAACATTAGACTTTTGAATAAAAATACGATGTTATCAGCGAGTCAGCATACAATTTTCAAGTGTAGATTTCCCACTTCACCATCCCACAACAGTATTTTGAAACGGAGGAAGTAGAAATTAGAGTGAGTGGATGATGTAACTTGTGTCGTACTGTGTGCACGACAAGTAAGGAGGGCTGTAATCCTGTCGGAATGCTTTTGGGAGACGCCCACTTTTGCTGATTTTCCGATCTCAGCCCAGATCTTTCCAGGAGGCATATCATAGTAAACAGCGGTCTCGTCGGCATTGAGAATGTCGGAGGATTCGTTCGTGGTACTTGTTCCAGAAAGTCGCTGACAATTCGTCACGAGTGCGAGCCATTTCGAGTGTTCATACTCGTGTGAGTGGAAACAGGCTGGCTGAAGTTGTGCCTCTTTGCGAAATCCTGGCATAGCCGCAGGAGGGATTGTAGGAGTCTGGCTTGGCTGCGGTGTATGTTCGGAGCCAGTTCTTGTCATGCAGCTTCATGAATGTAACCATGTGGATGCTCATCAAAATGTGCTCATCACGTCTGACGTCTTTCATGAACGTTAGCAAGTCGTGGTGAAATGATTGACTTGGCTCTCTGTCCACCAAGGATCGTACGCTTCTTGTTGCGCTTAGTGTCCGTAAGCTCTTTGTGCTGACGTTGCCACGTCCACAGTGTGGCCCAAGGAATTCCATTCTGTACACAAAACTGACGGGAACTAAAGCTGCTGTACTTGAATAAGGTTAGCAGCAGTCTCTTCTTGCCGATGTTGCATGACTGCTATCGTTGGCATTGACAAAATGTGTGATGTCGTTGAATTTTGAATTCCTCAATCATGATGTGTCGTGATGGGCTGTGTCAAAATTCATCATTTTGGAAAGTACTACGTAGTAGTCAAATTGTCAATAAAAATTGATCAATTATTGGAGGAGGCCGGGTTTTTTGGGGGACCGGCTTTCTCCGTTCATAGTATAGTCTTTTCAGTCGAAAACTGGACTTGTGAGTCGATCAGCCAAATTTATCTATCGATTGTTTCATGCTGACTTCATTATACTATACAAATGTCAGTATAGTTATCCCCCGTCTGGGTATTGTGCGAATGATCGTCGACATTGTGCGCAGACAGCATGCGTCGAGGAACACCGTGATGCATGCATTGTACGCGTCTCTCGTTTGCTCGTGGTGACAAGCCGGAATGGCTTGTACTTGATTGGTCAATTTTACACAATTTCCTGATTGCTCATTGGTCTAAACTGTCTGCCCATACTTCTGCCGGTTCTCGTCTGTCGATGCATTCGGCAGGTAGGTCCAATTTTGAAAAAACACAACAATACTACTTGAGGTGAAAATGAGGTGCGACTTTATTTTCTATTCAGACTGTCCTGTACGCATGTTTAATGCTTTCGAGTGCAAGAACAACTCGTGCCCATTTCTAGCGATGCGGCGGCGAGATCTGGCAGATCTTGCGCATCCTTCCCACTACCGCATGCCCCTCTGCGTCCACCTCACCCCTCGACAGAATAGCACCATCTTGCTTCGATATCATTAACTACACCTCTTGCCGCAGCGCCCCTCACGCATACATGGCTTCAATGATGTGTTCGTACTTGGCCATGACAACCCGCCGCTTGAGCTTGAGCGTCGCCGTGAGTTCGTCGCCGCCGATGCTAAAGTCCTTGTCGACAATCTCGTACTTTTGAATG